CACTATATCCGTGATGCGTCCAGCGGGTGAGATGTAGCTGCCCAGATAACAAAACTTATCCACTTGTTCTATTACTTCTCCAGTTAGAGTGAGGCTCGGTGCTGGACCGACCTAATCTTGTAGCAACAGTTTACACTTTGGAGGTGCAAAACGCATACCGAGCATGGCTACACTGACATTCAAGCTGTCCAAAAAAAGTTTGTAAGTTACCTGTATCTTCACTTAGTAGCACAATGTCATCTGCATACTCTAGATCAGACAGACTACCACCTGGGGGTAAATCGATGCCACTTTCCTCGCACAAGGATAAGGCTGTTTCCATAATCAAATCCATAACAAAGGAGAGGGCAACCCTGTCTAATACCACTTTCCGGGTGAAAAGGTGCCGTAAGCTCGAACTCGACTTCGGCTATTAGTATAAAGTGATCGTAATATCGAGCACACCCTTCAGGGAAAGGCAGCGCGAGAGTTTGGAGCGGTCGACTGAGTCGAAAGCCGCTTTTAAATTGAGAAAAACAGAGATGAGGGGGTTTACAAAATGAATGTCGATGCTCCAGTATTTGGCGGAGAGTGAAGATGTGGTCGATAAAACCTCCACCGGGTCTAAACCAGCGTGCACCGTTCACGTGCGGCAGACAATCAATGGAGTCTGATCCCAGCAGGAAGCTTAGAGACAATGTTGATTACACTAATTCCTCTGTGGATTTCACAGAAGGAACTGTCGCCTTTCTTGTAAATCGGTATGATTACCGATTCACACCATTTAGCTGAAACCTCTTCCCTCTCCTATACTGAGCCCAAGGGTTTTGTTAACTCTAAAACCAAGGCTGAACCTGACGGAAAAGATTGCGACTATTGATAATAGTCGCAGCTTTATCCAGCTTTTTACACTTTCCTACCCACCACTTATGGCATTAATTTCTTAGACTCTTGATGAGCTGGAGTTTAAGGGATTTGCACGCTGTCATATGTGGCATCCGGAGGCAGTGTTCTGCGGGCGTCTAGCAGGGCAGCCGAGGTCGACGAGATCCATAGTTTGTGTTTTGA